CTGGCCAGCTGCCAAAAAAAAAAAAAAAAAAAAAAAAAAGACAGTTAACAAGGATGGGTGAAAATTCAAATGGAACAAAAATTCATGAACTTTACCATATTTCAAATGAATAACATAATCACATTGAAGAGGGGGAAAAACCGTAAGCCAAGTAATTTTTGATATCTTAAATTTATAACAAACTAGTGTGAATTAATATTTAGCTTTAACAGTCTACCAAAACTTTGCCCCTTTGTGGTGTTGTTATCACAAATGAAATCTTCACACATTGTGTGCTTATTAACATAGATTTATAGTAATGTTGTTTTATGCCTTTGTTTTTCAAATTATATACAAAAAAAAGAGTTACAAACCAAAACTATATAATTTTGGCTTTTATATTTACCTATGTAATTATCTTTTTCAAATGAATTCTTAATCCAGAATCCTGTATTTGAATAACTGGTTTTATTGTATACTCAAGTTCAGAAACTTTACAATTACCACTTCCATTTCATCCTATTTGTTTCAGTCTCTCTCTTCTTTGGCTGCTGTGATCTTTCAAAGTTCTTATTCTCCTATCCATCAGGGTACTTAACCATTAAGGTTCTGTCACTTGCACATTTGATAAGCATGACTTCTACGTTTTCAGCTAAATTACTAGTAAAAATACCAAGCTAAACGAGACCAAATGGAGAGCCCTTCAAGAACTCCTTCTGGATATAAATGAATCACTATAAAGGTGGGTTGTTCCAATAAAAACTCATCTTGTATTATCAATTAATCCCCATTTCTCCAACTTTGCAAGCATATCATAAGTTTCTTAAATACCTTGTTATAATCAGGACATAGATGTTAGGCTTCAGGAATTAATAAACTTAAAATAATGGCACCCTAGTGTGGAAACTGATTCAAAGGGAAGATACCATTATTTTTCATGACAACAGTCCTTTCTCTACATATGTGTGGTCTCACAGCATCTTTCATTTGATTATTATGGTGTCATTATTTAAATAACCTTTGCTAAGATTTAGGCTACAAGCCAATTAAGGCAATTAAAAGATGTTTTTTCAATATAAAGCTTGTATAAGGCCTCCACTAAAGCTTGCCTAGAATTTATATAGAGAGAAGCCATGTAGTTTGTTTCTTAGTACCTGGTTGGATTTGCTTCATGATCAAATGTGTTATATACTAACATGAAATATGGTTCAAAGTTAAAATCTAACACTAGCTATATTTCAAATGAAAGAAATTATGAGTATAAATGCATACAACATAAACCTGGTAACATAAAACTTCTTAAGACCACAATATCAATTTATTGATATTCATTTAGGATCCTTAATTTAATTATAAGAATAGAGGAAAGGCTTAGCTTAGTAGCTAAGAGGGGAAAAAAAAATCAGCCACCCCTTTGAAAAATAGAAATATACATAGATAGAAATAATTTAGATTAACAACAAAGAGGATAATTATAAGCCTGAAGTTTATTATACTCTGAAGTAAGCCTACCAAGATTTGTGGAAACACTCTTCCTGGAGATACTGAAAATGGAGCTAATTTCTACATATAAAATGGTTTTTTGGTCCACACTAGAGGCAGGGCATGGACTAGGGAACATATATAGCTATAGCTAAACACAAAAACTACTGTGAGGTGCCCCTAAAATTAGGGGATGTTAGCAAAGCATCACCATGAAACAACTATCAAACTAATAGTTATCTGTGGAGTACCATGGCATAAAAAATGGTTTGCAAACATGTTGCTAAGCAGATTAACAGCACAGCCTCAGAACTGGCATATAACTAGAAATGCCATAACCTTATCAACATAAAGACTTATTAACATAAAGGCAGCAGCCAGCAGTCTACAAAAACAGAAGCAGAAAAAATGTCAGTGCTTATCTAGGACTATTCAGAGTAAGAAGTGCTCTCTTTCTATATGAAAAGCTTCAACTTACTTGAGAGAAATAACTCAAGATGAACAGAATCAATCCGTAAAATACTGACTGGAGCAGCTAACTGGTCTTCTGACATCTCTTTATCTGCATCTACCCAAGGCTTCCTGTACATCTTTGATTCTAAACTCTAACTATTAAATTCCATACCTGTAGGAAGGCCTCCTTGAAAGAATTTCCCTTCGTTTCTGGGAATCAGTTACACTATCCACTGATTCCTGTGAATCTTCACTTTCTGCAATAGTTGAAATCTGAAAATAAAGAAGAACTTTATTTTGATAATCAAATTTAGTTCTAATAAAATTTTTATGAATTTTAAGAAAAATTCAAACACAAAAGGACTTATATAAACCTTATACATGCTTCAGTATAAAAAAAATCAGTTTTTATGAAAGACAACCACACTAATCACTCTCCACTCCCCTTTAATAACCCTATAGACTATTTAAGATGAAGTCAGAGAATCTAAAATGTCTGCAGTTTAATTACTTTTAAGACTTCATGTAAATAATCCTGAATGCATCAGTATTACTTGTCGATTTTTTCTTATAGTTAAAACAAAACTACCAACTAAAATTAGTTTTCTGACAAGTTTCTAGCAAGTTGGGAAAAAGTCCTGTGCTATGTCTAGACATGTTTCAAAGACAGCATTCTGTAACTGTTTTTAAGCAAAAATTCAAGGTAAAGAACCATGCATTTCTGGTAAGTATCCCTAGGCTGAAAAGTAATGAAGATAAGTGAATAAAGATTTTATACAGGATAATAATAATAGTAAGTTTCTATGTGCCAGGTACTATGCTAAAAGCACTTACATACACTTACATATATTACGCTAACTTAATACGGTAATACAGGTGCTGGATTGGTACTACGATTATATTCACTTTATAGATAAAAGAACTAAGCCACAAAGAGGTTAAGTAACTTACTCAAGTCACAAAGCTAGGGAGTAGTGGAGTCACTGTCAATACTTAGCATCTCCATTTTAGACAGCCTTGTCAGCATCAAAATCCTTCTGGTTCCAGTCTCAAACCAGTTTTGTCAGATGTGGCAACTTGGTGGCATTTTAAAACCATTTCTAGACTAGAAGTTTGCTCACCTAAATATGCCTGTCAAATTTATATTGCCAAGTTTTGCTAGTCTAATCATCAGCAGCAGCTAGGTACACATGATGCTACTGGAGTGAGAATTAGATTTAACCAAGAAAAAGGATATTCAGAGGTACTTGAGAAATTCCAAAGGTATTTTGTATGTGGTCTGAGCCTAAGAGTTCTGGAAAGAGGGCACTCATTTTGATGGTGCTTTGTGATACACATACTCACTTTAAAATGAAATCAAGTAAATCTAGCAATGTTTCACAAAATATACCTATAATAATAAAATAATGCCCCATCCAAACCCTTTAAAGTATAGTCTGAAAGACCTAAAAGTCAGCAGGCAACACTTAATGGATCCAGAAATGACAGATAAAAAGATGGGCAAGGCTGAATTTAGTATGTCACTCTCAGCAGAATAATAATGCTATAGTTACTGCTAAAGAAGCAATGTGGAAAAATCAGTAGCTGCTGTAACTAGCCCACTCAACATAGTTAGGAACTATGAAAAGGCCTTCCCAGAGGGTCAGAAATGCAAGGGATAACAACAAGACTGAACTCAAAGTGGACAGTACTATGACAGGTGTTGATTACCTTCATTAATACTCCCCTCAGAATCTAAGTTCCTCTGTAGCTCTTTTTCTCTCTGCCCTCTGCTTGACTCTTATATGACCCATTCTTACAACCTTCTCTTAAGGACATACAGTGATTTAGGAACACTACCCTCAAAGTTGAAACTGATTAAAACAACATTAAAACATGCTACATAAACAGGATAGTTCTGAAATAAAGTAAATTAATGTTACTTTTTCATATGTGGCCTTTGATTTGTTTTTTCTTCTCAAATTCAGTGAGTCTACGGCCCTTAGTAGAAAAAAGGTTGCTCTCCTCTGATCTAAAAGATTTTGTCCGTCCAGAACTATTCAATACCAGGTAATGAATGTCACATTTCCTCTTTGGAAATACTATCCAGGGAGAAGAAAGAAATATGAAGCCAATTCCTATGGACTCTCTAACAAAAAAAAAAAACCACAAAACAATCATACCTGTTACAGAATGTACCAACACCAAGAGTAAACTATAGACTTTGAGTGATTATAATGTGTTGATGGGGGTTCATCAATTACAACAAATGTACTGATCTGGTAGAGGATGTGTGGGGGCAGGGGATATGTGGGAATCTCTGTACCTTTCTCTCAATTTTGCTGTGAATCTAAAATTGCTCTAAAAAAATGAAATCTTAGGCCCTTCAAGAAGCGACTGCAGGACTTGGAGGTGCGGCAGGAGTCGGCAGCGTCCTGGTGCGAGGGGCTGCAGCCCCTCATGGAAGCCGCATTGTACAAGGAGGAGACTGGGCTGTGGGCGAGCCCCAAAGTCCCCTCCAGGGGTCCAAGAGGGTGACGGGTCTGGAGCAGCAGTGCCAGGAGACAGCGTGATCCTGAGAGCTGTGCGCTGTGATACCAGAGTATTAATTGCACTTCCAAGATCAACAAAAGGCTAATAAATCTATCAACAACGACCCTGCATCGACAACCAAGCGGCAGCAGGTTCGAGG